AAAAGCCAGATATTATATAGTGAGAATTTCATGCAAGCATGATTAGAAACAATAGGCTAGGTGGGATTAGAATAAACAGCCTAAACAAGTAAACAGGAAGACCAAAACTAAACTTTAGAGGCATGCCTTAATGAATAAGCCAAATGATTTATCCAGAATACTTTGGAATGCCATAGGTTTAATTTAGTGTACTGGGAGAACGTTCCTAATATTGAGTCCAAATGGTGTGGTGGTTTAAGTAAAAGTTCCCAATGAATCTCTTTATCTTTGCGATTTTTGTCGCTCCAATTGGCATTATGGTCAATTGCAATCACTCTGAAATTTGAAATGACCAGCTAAATTGAAATGTTCGGCTACTAGTTGATCAAGCTTAGATGTTCTGAGCACGAGGTATGACTCTTTCTGCAATGTTTTGATGTAAGAGATTCATACACTACCTCTCATCTTGTTTTTGTCGTTCTGCGGCTTGTGAATGTTCCGTTTTCTTTCTAAAATTACCCATTACCCTCTAAATTGACCACTCTGGGTAATGGCAGTTATTCAGCGCTCTTTTGATGTTACTCATATTTTCAGTCTCCTTCATCTCCGTTTCTACAACCATTTCTGCCCTGTCATGAAAAACTCACTCCACTGCATTGAACAAAGTTCTGAGATAATCAACAAAACGTGTTATTGTCTTCGCTTTCTCCATGCGTAAATAATTGAATCCTTATTTTCACACGATTTTAAAGGTTTTATAAGTACTGTTCATCGTGTAGAACTTGTATTTTTAATTACTCTATATAATAATGCAATATGCCACATTTATTGTTTTTTCATGACATACCGGATCAATCACATGTAAAAAAAACACGAAAGACTCACTCAACTGCATTTGTCATGAAAGAATTAACTCAACTACAGTATTTGAATGTAAAAACACGTTATATTATTAAATATTATTACGATGATAAGTAATATTATATCAACTTTTGTGAGTAAATTTTGGGTTACGCCTATTTTTTACTTTGATGGCAGAAGCAAAGAATAGAACACAGAAGCACACATACTCAATATAGAACCCTGTTTATTATTTTCTAATCTAATAATAATAATAACAAAAATAATAATAGGATAATGACAATTAAGTTAATAATAATAAGGTAAATATAGGTAATATCACATAGGTAATAAATAGTGCCCTATAATAATCTATCAGAGATTTTGTATTAAATAAAAAAAGACAAATTAAATAAGAAAAGATGCTTTTTAGGTGGTCCTTAAAAAACGTCAAGAACTTTCCTCCTTAATACATATTGGGAGCTGGTTCCATAATGGTCCCCTGCCAGAAAAAAAGATCGATATCCATACTTTGCTAGTATGACTAATGCCAAAAAAGTATGAGATAATGTTTCCTTAATACCAATATTGTGCACCTGTAAAGATATTGTTTATAATGATTACATTGTGAAAGTAATGTTATATACATTAGACAATCGTTTTTCTCAATGATAAACAATATGCAGCACTATGTAGTTGAGTGGGTTTCTCAGGATAACCTATTACATAATAGGTATTAAATGCCAGTTACGTGAAGTCTTTCATAACATTTGCAGTTAAGTGCGTCGTTGCAAACAAAAGTAACACAGACTTGCAGTTGAGTGATATTTTAGTTTTTAAATTTCATATCTTTCGTTATAATTTCAAATATCTGAATACATCACAACAGGGTGTGTTATGTCCCCAAAAGTGCAAAATGCTGAAAAGGTGCATTTTGAAAAAATTGTCAGTTGAGTGAGTTAACGTGTAATTGTTGATCTGTTTGCGTGGCCTTCCGGTAAACCGATGTGCCAGCATATTTAAGCTTGATTTGCATATCCAGAAATGAATTTGTGTTATTAGCTATATGAATTTTACAGTTTTAATGTTGCTATCATGGTTATGGCTCTTAAGCAATAATTGTCAATGTCATTCAAGATACAGATTAACTAGTATGGGACTGATGGGCTTACCATAGCAATGCCCTGATTTTTTCTGTAGATTTTGCCATTGAACAAGAATGTCTTGTTGGCGATTAGCTCAAGTAGCTTCATTATGTCTGTAGTTTGGTTCTTTCATGAAATGTCGGATCTGTTTTTAAACGGTTTTCTTTTACTGGTGTTTTTGTCAAAAGCGATACTACATCAAATGAGACAAATGTTTCGCCTGGCTTAACCGTTATCTTTTGTATAGGTGGATATGATGCTTAACTCCAATATTATTAATTTTAGATTTCTAAACATTGTTTGGAGTATATGGCCAATTCACATGATAGATTATATCCATAGGATACACCTAATCCAAAAATCTCAAAATATAAAAAATGCATATAATGCGTTTATGAACATGAACATCAATGTCTGCCATGAAAATGTATTGTTGTTAGTGTGTTTTCAGAGATAGACTAGCAGTTAAGTCTAATTTAAATGATGTCGATTTCATTGCATAATATTCTTGGTCGTTATGCAAAGTTTGATGAGGTAAGAAAAATATTACCGAAAAAGAATTGAAGAATAATTAGGCGTAAAATGATTCTTTTAATATGTGAGTTATAGTCCACTCTACAGAAATGAATAACCTTTAACCTTTAAAAACACAGATGCAGATAGGTAGACGTCGATACACTGGCTGTAGTTATTAACAAAACTGAATGCTCACCGTAATTACCTTGTTTTGACAAGACAGAATGACTGGATGTCGACATAAAAATACAAGATCACGTTCTCAATCGTAATTTGATAAAATATAATGTTGCAAGGAAATATGGATTTTCATATGTGCAAATAACATTGTATAAACGATAACGATTCATACATGGCATGAATTCCCTGTTAAAGAGAACGGATATAAATTTGTTCGCCTATTTTAAAGGTTTTTAGATTATTAGTAATAATGCGTCCATCATTATGCAGGAGTGGATGCAGAGGCTGTCTCTTATACACATCTAGATGTGGATAAGAGACAGCACTACATCTCA